AAAAAAAAAAAAAAAAAAAAAGTGGAGCTGAGTTCCACGGAACCCAGCAAATTGGGTTCGATGACCTGAGGAAGAAGAGGAAGAAAGAAGAGGAAAGAAGAAAAAGAAAAAAAAGAAAGGAAGAAGATGGATCGAATTTTTTTATTTTATTTTTAAAAAATATAAATAGTAATCATGTGAGTTGGCATGAGCTGTCATGAAAAAAAATTTCACATCAACACGTTTTCAACTTGTTTTTGCCACATCATCAAAAAAAACTATAAAAAATGTCACATGAGCGAGTTAATGATCTAAATTAACAGAAAGACTAACGGAGTGCATTTCGTATAGTTGAAGGATCAAAAATGTGTAAAAATTTGTTGAGGGACCAAAAATGTGAATTTTGTAAAGTTGAGAGATCAAATTTAGTATTTAACCTTTTTTTTTAAATGAATCAAAATTTATTAATGAGATTGATCATTATTGTTCTTTATTAAAAAAATACTAAAAATAAAGATACAATTTAGGAACAAAAGTGAATAATTGAACTTAAGCATTAATAAGGTTAACATTAAAAATATATATTCATTTATCTTCAAAAATAAAAAAAGTAATAATTAATTTAAGATAAAATTATTTTATAGAAAGTTAAGATAAAATTTGAATAAAAAGTTAATTATCTAAGACATTATATATTATATATTAAAAAAAAAACTAAAAGTAAAAGGTATTGGAAGCGCGTATCTAGCACAGCTAGAAACAAGCGAATGTGAAATGAAATTGACACAACGAAAAGAGAAATAAATTCCCCTCCCCACTTCAAGAAAAAAAAAAAAAAAAGGAAGTCCCCACCAGAACATTTCTTACCGAACCAAGCAAAGTACTAAAAGCCCCTCTTGCAAGTTTCAACTCTCATTTAATCTCCTCACTCCCATCCTCTCCTCTCTCCAATTCCTTCCTTTTAACATTCCACCACCACTTCCTTACTAAAGCAGAAGGAAGAACCCTTAACTCCAACAAGACCTCTCAATGGAAGCCTCTCCAAATCACCAGGAAAGCCCAATTCCCACTCTCCTTCCATCCCCAAAAATTCAGAGTCCCAACAGCAGCACAAGTAGCAGCAGCAGTACCACCACTGCTGCCATCACCACCACCCCCACAAACCCATTACCTTCTCCACGCCTTCAGCCAAAACCCATCACCAGATCCGAGCCTGCCAACCCGTACCCGACCACCTTTGTCCAAGCTGACACCTCCTCCTTCAAGCAAGTTGTCCAAATGCTCACCGGATCCTCCGAGACCGCCAAGCTTGCTTCCTCAACCAAACCCACCCAACCCGAACCCAACCCCAACCCCAAAACCCATATTCCTCCCATCAAGTCCATACCCAACAAGAACAGGCAGCAATCTGGGTTCAAGCTTTACGAACGAAGGAATTCCCTCAAGAATCTCAAGATCAACCCACTCAATCCCATATTTGCTCACAACAATTCTGGGTTCTCTCCCCGTAAACCGGAGATCCTTTCCCCGAGCATTCTTGACTTCCCTTCTCTGGTTCTCAGCCCTGTTACCCCCTTGATACCAGACCCATTTGACCGATCCGGATCCACAAATTACAGCAATTGTTTCAACAACAATGCAAAGCTCAACACTAAAGCTGAAGAAAAAGCAATAAAAGAGAAGGGTTTTTATTTGCATCCGTCACCGTCCACCACGCCTCGTGATTCAGAGCCCAGGTTGCTTCCTCTGTTTCCAACCTCCTCGCCTAGAGTTGCAGGTTCTTCGGTTTCTTCTTGAATTAATAATATTTTTTAGGGTTTTTTTTTTCATTTTTACATATTATTCGCATTAAAAATGGTATCCAAACCATCATGTGAAGGAGGAGAAAGAGATTTGTAATGTTGGAAATTAGCAGAGGAATGAGATATATCTCTCCTTCAATTGCAAAATTTGATACTTCCTGACTTCATTTTCTTCCAATTTGTGTAATAGGTAAGAAACTTGGTTAGATAAAAAAAAAAATTTATTTTCTTTTCCAAAATTCTGGTTGTAATGCAAAATTATTAGTAATGGTAAATATTAGCTATGGTTGGTATTTCATAATTATTACAATCTTCAGAATCTAAGAATTTACAGTATGTATTATTTGTGGGTGAATTTTCATGCTGGATCACCATTAAAGCATAGAGGAGACTGGAAGTGTCAGTGGATTCACTGCTACTGGTGAAATTGTGATTCTTTATTTCTCCCAATAAATGCAAAGGAAGTTGCAAAAGCAACTTTCTCTGTACTAGCTCTAGCTGTCAAAGAAAGAGTAGATAAATGGGCAAGGAATCTTGGACCCTTCGTTTTTTGTTAGAACTAGAGGAAAAAGAGGGAGAGATGCCCCCATGGCTAAGTCAGAGCCTAGAGGCAGATATGGGCATTTGTATTGTATGTACCTGTTTTTTTTACCTGTGAGCACCTCTGGTTTTTTCCCTGGACCTGTTATTTAGTATGCCACTTTGGCTTTAGCCACTATGGAGATCCACCAAGATGGGGCATTATGGAAAGATATCTATCTCACCATTAGATATGGATATGGGTCCCACTCAATCTTGCAATCTGCTATTTTTCTCTTGGTGGAAGAGGTGGTCTTCAATTTCTTAAGGGAATGAGCTAGTAACAGAAGTTTTGGCTCCATTCCCTCTTTTCAGGAAAAAAAAAAAGCAGAAGTTTTGGTCCTAGTATGTAATATAATAGATTTCTTTTTAAATTGGAATTTGGAATTTGGAATGACAAGAAATTGTTAGTATAACGAGAGAAATGACATTTGCCGTGGCGGTGGGTTGCATTCTTGATCTGTGGTCGAATTTTCTTAAAAGCATTCTTAATCAGTTGGTTGAATTTTTTTAAAAGTAAGGTACTAACTTAACTCTTAATTATTGTTTTATCAAAAAAAAAAAAAAGAGAACTGACATAAATGCCTTTTATCTCATAAGTTTCAAACCATAATTGAAAGGGTAGAAATGTCATTTTCTTTTTCTTGACTGGTAACTTTCTTTGTTGGTCCAAACTGAAGGGAGATTGGTGTACATAGCAAAATTTTAATATTGATTTGTCATACAAAAGATCCAATTGAGGTTTCCTGGAGACGGGTACTTAAATTCAATGACTTTGAATTGTTGCAAAAGCAATCATGCAAAAGGTAGTTCTCTCTCTTTTGAATGCTGCACTCAACAGGCAACCATGTTTTAAGTCTTACTTTTTGACTATAAGGAAAGCAGACCTATAGTAAATGGAGAGATGGGAAAGTGCAGCTAAGAAGCAAGGTGGGACTTGTGATGATGAAAGGCAAGAAAAATAAAGGGGGGGTGTGTGTGTGACTGTAATGAGAACAGGAAAGCCAGAAAACGTGGCCCTGGGGGTCACCTCTTGGTCTCCTGTTTTTGTTTTCTTTTCGGGGTTGTTTTGGTGTGTGGATATTATATGGGTTTTGTACACTATTCATCCCCCGCAGCCTGCCGTTGGTGGGTCTTTAATTTGGACATTTGAATCTTCCATGTGCACTGCTTAAAGTCTTCCATTTATTTCTCTCTCTTAACCATCAAATTGAAAATTTTGGCCCATTTTTATGCTTGGCAATTTATTAGCTTGACTTGCTCAAGCCTGGGTATGAGATAGACTAGTAGACTTCAAGGTTGACTCATTAATCAAAATATTCAAGTGAGACACCAAGCTTGCGGGTACTTAATATATCAGATTACTAATTTAATTATATAAAAGAAAATTTAATGTAAATTATTTAAGCTCAAACTTAGAACCAACTCATTTCATAAATGAATATGAAGCTCAAACTTAATCCCTAACACAAGATCTAATCTTTTATTTATGATTGATTAAATTTTAAGTAAAATAACTCTTTGAGTAACTTGATATGTTTTTACGTATACTTAATTACTTTTTCTCTTATTTTATAAAGAAGAAATGTCTGAGAAGGAAGAAATTCCATTTTCTTCTCAATGATATCCCCTTAATTAAATCTGCTTGAATTGTGCAATATGATCTTGTCGATGATTAATTCAAGAAGAACAACATTAGCTTCTTGACTGCAGCTGCCATTTCCAGGCATGTTTTTGAGGTTGACAGATAGATTAGTCTAGGTTAGCATTACGAATGTCGAAAGAGATTTTCCCCATATTTTTTATTTTCTCTTCTCTTTTGAGAATAAAAACTAAAAAAGACAGGAATCCCTCCCCTAAGTGGATACCAGAACAGGACAGTAGAAGATAACCGTATCTAAAGCACAATTTGATTTAATGTTTTTGTTTGGGCATTACGATTGAGACAACCTAAATTATTGTTCACGTCTCCACAACTATCTGTATTATTAGCCTTAGTACATACGCAGCCTCTTTGGCCGCAATGTTTGAGTAGATATTTAGTCAAGGTCTATTTAATAATCCCTCGTGGTGGTCCTAAGTCCCAACATCTTTGCTCTTGTTTTTCAACTCTCTCGATGTTTATTTCAAGACTTAAATTAAACATGATTTGAACATGATTTGAATGCTTGAATGCTACCTTGTCTATTTGGGAGATCTCAATGTCTGACTTAGGGACTTTTTAGATCATCAGTTTTAAAATAATTATTAATTATTAATTTTAATTGAATAAATTAAAATTTTTACCTTAAAAATAATAAAGATTATTATCAATCATCATTAATTATCAATTTCATTTAAATTACTAATCCAAACACTTGCATAATTAACGATTAAGTTGAGTCAAACCAAACTAGATATAATACCGAGCTTCAACTTGCTTAAATAACTAAAAGGATAAATTCAAATACATAGTAAAGGTAATTTAATTTTACAATACTATATCCAAATTGTCATTTAATATTAAACACGTACAAACATATTATTTCACTTTCATACATTTTTTGAGTGAAAAAATTATCAATATTAATTATTCACACAAATTTGAATACATGTTTTTCCTTTTTGTTAATTTATTACTTCTGGTAATTAGACATGGTTAAAATCAAGATCATCAAATAATAGGATCTCTCATTCCTGGCGAACCTTTTTCTTTAGTTGGTAAATCTATAGCAATGCGTAATGACGCTGCAGCCACGACGGTAAGGGTTAGCCCTTTGTGGTCTGCAGTCGTAGTAGGAATGTCCGCGACGGCTGCATGGCACGCTGTTGGCCTTGAGGGCGTTGTAGCTAATGTACCTCTTCTGCGCAAGATGGCGGCGGGTCGCTTCTGAAGAAAACGAATCCAACAGAAACTCCTCATCGGTGGAGACGCAGTGGCCGGTAATGCAGGTGTTGTCGTCGAAATGGGTGAGGCCGACACCGAGGTCGTCGACCAAGTTGCACTCGGCCGCCACGACCAAAGCCAGGAGTGCAACAATTAGACAAGCCTTGGAAACCATTTTGGTGGAAGAAAAAGTAAGAACGAGAGAGGAAAGGGTTTTGATCTATCCAACCTTTGCCTTTCCTGCTAAAAGGAAAGGGAAGGAAAAGGATATAAAAGGAGAAAATGGAGTCGGGGAATTGGAAGGTAAGATTAGTGGCGGTTAATCCATTGTTTTTTCTTGGTATGTCCGGTTTTTGCTACTTAGTTCAAGGCTATATTAAGGAAATGGGAACTGGTCTTTTCTTTAATTAATTTCACGAAATAGCAATGGTTAATTATAGTTAGTTAATTATATGATCTAATGTAGCTTCAACCATTCAACTCAATATGCCCAACATTTTTGTTCATTGAAAACATGTCCAAGTTGAGACGTTTCAAATTTGTGTCTTGGTTTTAAGGGCAAAGGCTCATTTACACTGCAGAAATCTTGTGGCTTCTTGAAATTCTTTTCCATATTTGCATACTAAATTTTTATTTTATTTAAAAAGTCTGATAATAAATTATATAATAAAAAATAATTTTTTGAACATGAAAAAATTTTGAGGAATGAAAGATATTTTTTTAAATAGTTAGGAGTCGAATTTTTTACTAATTAAACTTAACCATTAAGATTTGAGAATAAATTATTAAGTCTGAAAATTTAATTTTTTTTTTAAATTCTTTCCTGCACAACTTGAGGTTTGAATCAGGGTTGGAAGATTTTAAATTAAAAAAATATAAGTATAAAGATTGGGAATTTGGGATGGGTGGCTAGCTTGCTTCCCTTTTTTTTCTTTTTTCTTTTTTATTTTTTATGTTAGTTTAAGCCCAAAGTGGATTCTATACGGAGCGTTTTGAACTTCGGCCGGCCTAAGCTTATAACAGTTAAATGAGCCATTAGCCTTTAGCCCAAAATAACCCAATTATCAAATGGGCTCAATATCTAATTCACAAGGTTGTTTTCCTAGGCGTAAAATTGAGGTTCCTGATTATGAACCATGATGTGCATCCTATGATTCCATCAGATTAAATTATTTTACCAATTCTCAAGTTGATGATGTATGGTATATTTGATTTGACCAGAATGAAGGAGAAGAGAAGATATTTTAATTAATTATATTATTATAATATTTAAAATATTATAATTTAATTAATTAAAAAAATTTATTATTTAACTAAAAATACTTATAAATTGACTGCTTGATTTTTGTTTCTTGGATTCCAATGATGCAATGAATGAGCTATGAATGTGGGCTGGAAATGCTACCCCTTAGCCACCTAACAACAACTACGTATGCCCCATGTCTCTCCCTCCCTCCCTCCCTCCCTCCCTCGTCTGCACCTTCTTTGACCAGAAACAGATAAATATTTCTCTATCATTCCATTATTAATTCTTCATTGAAGAAAAAGATAAGATTTTTTTATTACTAACCCCTTTCTTTATTCGTTAATGGACCAAATAAGAGATGACCTTGGCTTGGCAATAAAAAGCACAAAGCTGAGGAAGTAGAAGGCGGCCCCCACATCTTGACTTTCAGGTTTTGTACTCTATCCCAATCAATGCTGTAATGGGGGGTTGGGGAATTATGAAAAAGAAGGGGATTAGCAATACTCTTTTTAATATTCTTTGTATGTTTAGTCTATATGATTTAATATTTTTTTTGTTATTAATTTATATGTAATGTTTTAAATTTTAAAGACTGTAACATGTAACCAATGACACTTATTTCATAAATAAATCATAATGAAATTTAACCCAAAAAAAAGTGTAAAAGGGTATCCTTAATACTTTTTATTATAAAATTTTAATTATATATAAGTTTAATTAAAAAGATCTGACAATCTGATTATGTTGTTGATATGCCCGGATATATGCTGTCTGTCTTCTTTATTGGATTCACCATTTCCTCTTTTGCAAAAGTTTGTTCTTATATGAGTTAGGGCATTTGTTTGAAGGCAAGCTGATTTTTCTTTTCTTTTCTGCTTTTTTGTTCACATTGTTCCCAGCCAAACATCACATTCAGTTCTATTTTTGTAATTTGTTTGCATCCGAAAAATTACAAGACCCCCCAACCACCCACCAGCCACTTTCACATTAGATGGAAAAATACCTTACACAAACCATCCAAATCAAGTAAAATAATAAGTGAAAAAGCCCCCTACTGCAGAACCCACTAAAAAAGGTTCCTAGTGTTAAAAAGGTGATCAGATATGTTCAACTATGGAATTTCTATCCAAAGCCTTTATAAATTATGAGTGAATCAAAAGATGGGTTAGCTTGGATTGCAAGGGATACCCTCCATTTTAGTCAGAGAAGTGATGATGTTGATGAGTGAGTTTGTTTCTTGTTCCTTTCTTTGTCAATTTTTCATTACATAATAATCAAAAACTGTTAAAAGAGTGGTATTAATGGGTTTCGATAGTCTTCCAGGAGTCTCATCATCATCAGCGACCTTTTCCTTTGTCTGTTTCAATACTGACTAGTAAAGGTGCCTAAATTCCACTTTGATCTCTCTATCAGCTCCTCTCCTTCCCATCTTCAGTTCTTTTTCTGAGAAAGTTGGGTCTGAGTTTCTGCTGCTAAAATTGGCTGTGAGTTACTAACTTTCATGGGTTTTTTCTGCTGATTCTTTCTGTTTATCTTGTGTTCTTCAGTTGCCTTTTTTTGGTTTGGATGGTTTCTCATTTTCTGGTATGATATTCTCTAATTCAACTACTTATATATAAAAAAAAAAGTCAGAATTCTCGCTTTGTCGATCTTTTAGTTGCGGAATTGATAAGGATTAATCTCATTCTTGATTCTTGCTGTTCTGCTTCTTGTTGTTGTGGTATTTTCACTTTGAAGGTGTGACCTTGCTTTGCTTGCTTATAAAAATTCTGGAATTTCACTACGTTGAGAGTTTCTTCTGTTTTCACTTGGGAAAAATCTGTGATCCTCATATGGATTTGTGTATGGCTAGTAGAGAAAAAGGTTTCTTCCCTAATTTAATGCTAGCTTAAAGTCTAAAACTTGGGGCATCTACCTGGTTGAGCATGTCTCATTTGAACGGTCAAAAACTTTTAGAGCTGGATGTTACTTTTTTCAATTTCTAATTTCTATTCAACAATTTGAAACTGGCATGAAAAACTCTGGAGATACCATTCAGTTTAGCAGTTTCAGTTCTTCATATTTATATTTGCCTACTTTTGTTTGTGTCATTGTTATTATGTCCCTTTCACGATCAACATCATTAGTGGACAGGTTAACTGTGCTACAAGGATTTTGTGTCCTGAGCTCGTAAGAAAAAGCATTCCTGGAGAAGGTTTCTGGCTGTAATCATGTTTATTAGTCCACCTATGACCACAAAAGATCAGAAGGAAAAACCAAATTTCCTTCTTGAGGTAAAAATTTTGAAGCTGCAGTTTCATGTAATTGTTACTTTTTTCTAGAATTATCTCCCTTGTTTCAATTTGGTTTATGACTTCGGGAATAATGTTGATTCCAGGTTGCTAACACAGAAAAGCAGTTTTGGTTATTAATCCATTCCAAAGGTTTATTGCATTCTGATGTTCAGGAATTGTACCGTAAAATCTGCTCAAGTTATGAGAAAATTATTCTAAGTGATTATGAACTGACAGAACTTCAAAATGTTGAGTATTCATTGTGGAAGCTTCACTATAGGCACATTGATGAGTTTCGTAAAAGAATGAAGAGAATCTCTGCTGAATCGGAGAGTACAATGCATGCAATTTCACAAAATGATGTTAATGCCAACCATATAGAAGGATTTAAGACATTTCTGCTGGAAGCAGCTGAATTCTACAAAGATTTGATTGTAAAAATCAGGAATCACAATGGTCTTCCCAAAGAGTCTTCCATTCCTAGGAGGGGTGGCATCTCTATTGAACCAAAGAAATTGCAGAAGTGCGAATTCTTATGCCATCGTTTCTTAGTTTGTCTAGGGGATCTTGCTAGGTATAGAGAACAATATGAAAAATCTAGTGTCCAAAATCCTGATTGGTCAGTTGCAGCCACCTACTATTTGGAAGCTACAATGATTTGGCCAGAAAGTGGAAACCCACAAAATCAGGTATTTTTTGTTTACTTTTGTAGTTCTTTACAGGTATTTCTCGATGAACTTACTATTGATGCTAACTCTTTAGAACCTAGTTGTGTGATTACATCTGAATTTATTTTCTAAATTGCTACTCTTTCTGTTTATGAGTATGACGTACTGTGTTCATTTTTAGTTGGCAGTATTGGCAACTTATGTTGGCGACGAGTTTCTTGCTTTATACCACTGTGTAAGAAGTTTAGCAGTTAAAGAACCTTTCCCTGATGCCTGGAATAACCTGATTTTATTGTTTGAGAAGGTAAGAACTGATATTCTTCATCTTCATTTTTCAAATAAATTTTATTACCTACAAATTAAGCTGATTTTTGGTATGCATATACGTTGGCGATTCTCAAACTCTTCATTTGATACATCAGAACATATCATGTTCATTGCCTTCTCTTTCAAGTAAGACTCAGTTTGATTTCTTAAAACCATCCAAGCGAAGCTACGAGCCTACCAGAGATCATGATTCTTCGAATTGTTATCCATTAAAAGGTGAACATGATGGCAGGGCAGAAACAAATTTGTGGTCACTTATTATCAGAACACTGAGTTTCTTCTTCCTAAAATCCAGGTACTCCTTGTGGTAGCTGGTAAACTGTAGTAAAGTGTAGAACTAGTTCTTTTTTAAGGATATGATTTTACATTGTTTAGTGTATATAATTCAGTTTCAACTAGGTTTTAATATTTTAGTTTCCTTTTCTTGTGAGTCAGCTTAGAGGACTTCCCTTCTGCTTTTGCATCTACCTTGAGAGAGTTGGACATGGTGATAGCAGCAGATGATGCAAAACTAGGAGCTGAGCTGGAATCCTATCAGCTTATGGATTCAACCAGAAGAGGTCCCTTTCGGGCCCTTCAAGTTGTTGCTATATTTATCTTCATCTTCCATAATCAAGTTGACAGCCATGAAATTGAAGGGAAAGATAACGTAAAGAATGCACAGCATCTTGAGTTGACACAGTCGGCATTGACAGCTACATTCGTTTTCATGGGACGCCTTGTGGAAAGATGTTTGAAGGCAAATCCGGTGCTCTGTTGCCCTCTATTACCCACTGTGCTTGTTTTTGTGGAGTGGTTGGTGAGCATTCTTGATACAGCTGAAGAATATGGGGTGGATGAGAAAACTAAAAGTGCCATGGCTTATTTTTTCGCTGCTTTTGCTGACCTTTTAAAGCAGTTGAATGTTCAGGCTGAAATTTCATCTCATGAAAGAACTGCATTGTGGGAAGACTATGAGTTGAGAGGCTTTGCACCCTTAGCTCAACTGCATGTTTCATTGGATTTCACGTGGGAACATAGGGATAGTTACTATGAAACTGAAAGTGGAAAAAAATGCCGGTCTCACCGCATCATTGATGCTGCAAAGAAGATTGCAACCAGATCAAATGGTTCCCATAAATGGATCGCTTATGATGCTCCTAGAAGAATATTTTACATGGCAGAGGCAAATGTGACTTCAGGCAGAGAAGAAACAGAAAATGCGGACCCAGTCAAATTTAACGTAAAAGTTGAAGGGTTGCACCATAATAGCTGTGTAGACTCAAAAGGTGAGGCAGATATTCCAAGTGAAAACTTAAGCAATAACACTCTGAATGGGAAATCTGATGCAGTTGAGGAGGAAGAAGTCATTCTCTTCAAGCCTCTCACTAGATATAATTCAGCCCCACTTTATACTTCTACTAATGGAAGAGACCCTGCCTCTCCAAAAGAAAAGGAGGATCAAACAGTTCCTTCTGATGAATGTTTGCGCCGTGCAACATCACTACTTATAGCCCAAAATCAAGCTCATGGCTATCCTTCAGATTTTCATTCTGACATATCCAATTTCAGGCGTGGCAAGACACTCAAGCAGCAGGAGCCTCTTGTAAAAGATACAACACAGCAGTCATTTTCAGAAGGCGTCATCTCTGCTGGACCACCATCCTTCAATGCTTGGGTCCTAAATAGGGTCCTAAATAGAGTAAGTTACAGTAATGATAGGGAAAAAGTAAAAAGTGAAAATAGACAGAGCTTGAGCCCTATTGAAGAAATGGCTTCCGAATGCTTGAATGGTCTCTCCATATGTGAAACTGAAGATTCTGTTACTTGCTCAAAGCCTGAAGCTTCGACTAACTATTATTCATCTTCTGTCCCTTCTGCCCCATTGTTGCCAGATAATGCTTCTTGGTTTAGTGGTGTTCAGTCTAGTTTTTCTGAAGCAAAGAATTTGGGGTGCATTAACAAATCAGAGAATTTCTACAATGCAGCACAGATAAGTGGCTATTCCAACTGGACTGCAAATTGTCAACTTGATTATGGTCCTCCTATTCCAGGTTTCATGGAGAAGTTCCCACCATTTTCTGGAATGACTTCTTCTGAATGGCTTCGTCAGTATAGAGAAAGTCGCAATATTGAGCGAGCCAATAGCCATGCCTGGCCAGGGAACTATTATCCTGCAGGGAACCCCAGAAACTTTCCTAGTTCCCCATTTGGTCTTTTTGATCAATATGGAATTCCTTCTGTTCCCAACACAATGATGTACAATGAACCCCCACCATTGCATCCGGGATTTTCCCATGTTTACGGTATGGATGAACAGAGAAAGGAGAAGCTGTTCCATGGTTACCAAAGACCAAGCCCTTTTGTTTGTGGTGCTGTCACTGAACTCAGAGATGATCCACAGCCGCTTTTGCAGTATCTGAAGGAGAAAGAATGGCTACGCCAACAGGATCCAACCCTAAGTAACCACAGGTACATGGGAAATTAAAACTTGTGTATGAAATTGTTGATACAAGCATTTACATTCCCAGAACTCCTATTCCAGTTGTTTAAAGAAGCTTGCAATTCTGTTTGCCTGTGCATATCTATATCTGTGTGTCAAGAAATTTCATTTTCTTGTTTCCAATAATGTAATGTTAAACGAGATGGTAAAATATTACAAGTCATGATATTAAAAATATCAAATCTCTAATCATAATCACAAAATAAGTGAAACATGATATAATTTTCATTTAAATTTTATTTATTGTGTAGTTAAATTAAATATTGTGATATTTTTAATACCATGTTTTAATTTTTACATTTTTGTTATTTAAATAGTCTCGTTTTGTTTTTAATTTGATGATTAACTATATAACAATAATATTTCTTTTAATATCTAATGATTAATTATACAACAAATATAATAGTCTCGTCTCAAAGAGTCTTATTTAGCATCCTAAGTTGACACTCCATGTTGGATTAGTAACTATTGATATTTTTTGAGTGTTGTGAGGATCCAATTGCTTTGTTTCAAACGTTGAGGACAAAAGTACTATTTAGCTGTGAGACTAGCCCTGGCCTAATTAAAATTCATCCATCATTGGGCCAAAAGAAAAATAGTTTTGGGTTGCAAAACATGGGCTCCAAGTTTTTAACTAGTTTTAAAGGAAGCTCATTATCAATAGGCCCAATGCAGATCCTCAACTCCAGCCCAAATAAGCCTGTCTCTCGGTCCATCACTCCATTGCCTTCTCCTCTCTCTCTCTCTCCTCCTCTCCGATCGGCGTCGACTGTGGGAGATCTGTTCGCCTGAAGTCGGAGCTGCTCAACAATGGAAAACAAGCAATCTCCCGCCGCAAACGTATCACCGGCTACAGCAGTTGTACTTGGAGCCCTAGCTCCGGGCGTCAACGTCCGTTCAATCCCTTCTCATGCTGCTCGAAATCGTATCTTATATGTTACCAATTCAAGTTCTGATCTTTTTGCTGTTTGGATTTCAGGGTGCAACATGGAATACATTAAAATCGACGTTCGTGATGCTGGGTCTGTGCCTTGCCGTTATGCTGGGTTTGACATTTTCTTCCGGTGATTCTTTATTGATGCTCCATGTTGCTTTCCTCGTTGTAATTGCTGTCAGCCTCTTCTTGCTTCTTAATTGGTAATTCAATTCTTCGTTAAACCCTCCCTCTGCACACTTTTACTTTTTTTTTTTTTGGCATGTGATAGAGCAATTTGACATGGGTAATTGACTGGTGGTAACTTGATATTGGTGATATTCTGCTCATTGTTTTTTGGGTAAAGGAAAGTAGAAACAGTAGGTTCTTCATTTATTCTTATTGGCTTAGCTGCCCTGCAGTGTATATTTCTGTGTATTTTCCTCCTCTTGAGCTATGCATATATCTCGTTCTTGGAATTAGATAGAATATATAATTTTTTTTATGCATTATAATGATATTGATTATACTGATTTTGTAACTGTTATGTCTGCATTCCCCCCACAACACCCACAACAGAAAAAAGAATTAAAAAAAAGAAAAGAAAAGAAAAAGCACCATGCATGCGTTTTGGCTGTGAGAAGAAGTGTTGTCTTTTCAATAATGCAGCTCATTCATTACCCAATTATTGGCAATTTTAGCCATGTAACCTGTGCTAGCATATATTGGTGAAGAGAGATGTTTTAGATGTTTTGGTGCTAAATTTCAAAATTGATTGTATGACTATGAACTTGAAGTGCTTGTTTGAGTTTGTTGCCATGGCATGAAAGCAGAATTCATTCTATTCAGTGTTGCGATTCTTGTGACCTTCCAGCAAATTCAGTATCTTGACTCTTGTTTATGTACATATATGTAGTTTACTATTGCATTCATGTAATTCTGTTTGGGCTGAGAAGTGAGCGTGGGAAGGACCTGTGCTTTCCAAATTGTTTTTGTTTCTTTCTTGTTGCTTTTAAGATTGATGCTGCAACTGCACCAATCATAAATCTTTGTGCAAGCAAGTCGTGTGATGGTGATGCATTTGTGTTTGGCTTTTAGTGTTGTTATACAATATTGAATGAGTCAAATGCCATTCTGGACTATGACTGCTTGGAAATTATACTGCAGATGTGCTGATGCATCTGAATATTTTCTACAGGTTTCTTGCACAGACTGGTCTGGTTACCATTGAGCGTCAAATGCAAGAGTTGGACTTAATGCCAAATGATCATAGCAGATAGCTGATAAGCAATTAAACCAAATGTAAACCAAATGAATTATTTTCCTTCCCAGATTCCCTTAAATTTCATACAGTATTACATTTGAAAGGAATCATCGACAAGGGAAAGACAAATTATATGGTAATGCATTCCTGCAGAACAGATGAGAAGACAATGTTGTGAAAACAGTGAACAGACCATGGTGCTTCCCCCACACTTTCCTGGGGAGGAAACAACCGTAGGGATAGCCCTGTCACTCAGTGTTTGCTTCCTTATCCTTGTGTTTACTCTTTTTGGCCTTGATGTAGCAGAAGCATGCACACCATGGGAGCTGAAGCAAAAACTTCATATCTCAAGTTCTGCTGTCCTCATAAATTATGGTAATAATAATGATATATATAGAGCTCCATTGTTAGCTTTATTTCATTTTTTATGTTACAAAAACCATACTTTATCCCTTTATTCATTTCTGTTCCTCGATGAATAACTATACCTGTCTTGCACAGTTGGTACAGATACCTAGATGCCTTGCTTCTAAAATTACATGTTCATGGCCATTGGATGTTCTATGCTTCTTGGGTGGGTCATGACTCATGCCTGAGCAAGGCCTAGCTTTTTGACTAGAACTAAGACAACACCAAGCAGCAAATAGTTTAAACTCCTGGGTCTAATAGGTTGCTTGCTCCATTCTTTCTCCCCTTTCCCTTTTTCTGTTTTCCCAGGGCCACTAAAAGCCTTAAATTTAGAGAAAATATTTAGATAAGGATGTAAATTTTATTATTTTTATTATTTAAATATGTGAAATTTGCTTTATATTGATTAAGATTGCTATATCTCAAATTATTTTCACTATCAAATAAATCTTTAATAAAAAAATATAAATTTTGCATCTTTATTTAAGAAAATAAAAGTTTATTATTTGATTTTAAAATTTTAAAATTTTATATCTTTAAATTAAAAAAAAAAATCATATCACTATCTGGACATATTTTCCATAAACTTGGGCCACGGATTCGGCTTGCCTGGCGCCTGCAATTTAATGAAACAGTTTTTGCAATTATGGCTATGGTCATGTGCTTTGTGCATTCGTTAATTGGTGGGTTGAATCGCCAGACTGGACACACACACCATTAAACGGTGTGCTTCCCCAGTTCCTCCATGGGTTGTTTAGTAAGACAATCTGAAATTAGTTATTAGTAATTTTATTTAATTTGATAAATAAAAATATTTAAATTATTGTTAATAATAATTATTGATTATAGATTATACAAAATTATTAATTGTTAAATTTAAACTATTATATTATGGGGTTTCTTTAAATTAATTATTGAAAATAATATTGTTATAATATAATATTATATAATATTGTAGATTTATAGTTTTGATTTATTATTATATAATTGATTATTTTGTTTAAAAACTTATTTATAATACTATATATATTTACTTATTGAATAACACATCAAAATTATAAATTTATAATCTTATATGATAATGTAATTATATCATTAACAAGTAATTTTGCTAGATCGATACAACCATGAATTTCTTAACATGTACCCTTGCTTCTTAAGTTCAAAAAATTATATTGTGCATTAACCACTTAATACCATGAAAATTTAAATACATGAACTAATTTTATAAATTTTTAAAATTAAGTATGAACTCAATTAAGCTATTCTTTATTATTACTGTCTTAAAGAAGAACCACTGATTATCTTTGCTGATAAAGTCAAGAATCAAAGATTTCGGCATTAATCTTCAAAAAAAATTAAGCGAAAATTAAGAGTATGGAAGACTCCAAAGGGAAGTACTTAAAAAACCCTCAATTATGTCTTTGTTAACGATTTTACACAAACCAGTATAAAAAAATTGTAACATGCAAATAAAATGAAAGGGAATAACGTTTTGTAAGTAGTTTTTTAAATTTTTTTTAGAATTTGTATAAAAATTTAATTTCAATTAATATTTTTCTAAAATTAATTATTAAATTAAAATTTTTATTTATATAAATTATATATATTAATTTTAAAATGATTTAATAGATTTAATTACTTTATTAATTACATAAAATTTAATATATTGATAAATATATATTAGTAAACTTATTTTAAAAGAGTCTTATACCTTAATATAATACTAAATTATACAAAAACTTTTTCAATGTTGTATTTATTACATTTTTTTATTATTAATTTACATAAAAATTTATAAAAATAAACTTTCTTTTTTACATCAATATTATGTAAAATAATTTAATTACATAATTAATAAAAGTTAATTCTAAAAATTAATTTTTAATTTTCTTATATAAATTAATAATAAAAATATATAATAAATATAACTTTAATCTATATATTAAAATACAACTTAAAAACTTTTATTATATAAAATATTAATTAAAATTAATTTAATTATAATAAATTATTTATATTAATAAAGTGGTCAGTAAAAAGGGGTGAGAAAATAATAATTGGAAGATAACTTTAATGTCTGGGAAAGTAGGTGGGTACATACATGTCTCGGAAAAGGAAATGACTGGTACGTCGTACGTACGACATACAATTGCATTAAATTGCTATTTGTCCTTCATAGTCCTCAAATTTGGATTTAGTAAAGAAAATTTAGAAGAAAAAAAAAATTACTATGTGCATTAAACGCATAAAATAAAAGTATAATAAATATATGTTTTTATAATTAATTTTTATTAAAAACATAAAAATTAAATCAAAATTAATATTTATATTTTTAATATAAATTAATTATAAAAAATATATTTATTACCTTTTTAATATATTTTTTAAATAAATAAATAAATAATTTACAAACTGAACCATGTCCAAAGAGTGAGCAAGGACCACCACACCAAAAAGCAAAAAGGCTGCAGCCCACACTTACTTGACCTTCAATGAAATGCCAAATTTGTTTTCTTATGCGGTTGTTGCGCCTACTCTTTTCTCCTTCGCTTTCTGCATGGCACTGTCCCTCGCTGCTTAGTTATACCGCAGACCCTCTCGCTCCCTCGCCCCACCTCCACTCTTTAGCGCTTTAAAACCCAAATCCCCAACTGGGTTTTTTGGCTTACTTTGCTTCTGCCCCTCAATCATGGCTTCAGGGGACGCCTGGGATTTCCAAAAAGCGTTAGTTTTTCGTGTTCTTCGTAGTGATATGATCATGGGGTTTTTTTTTTTTTTTTAATAATTTGGGGGGCAGGAGGCAGGGGCGGTTTTCTTTGTGGTTTGCCGTTTTCCTTTTGTATCTGCATACTGAAATTTGTGTTTGTTTGATTGTGGGAGAAAACAGGTTTGACCTATACTTGTACGATTACTTGGTGAAGAAGAACAGGCGGAAGACGGCTGCAATTTTCAAAGCAGAAGCCAATGTTGACAAACCTGTCTGTATGTGCTTCTCTCACCCTTTCAATTACTTTTCTCAATTTAAATTGTGTTTGTTTTTGACATGTTATTTCTAGCTGCTTAATTGTGTTGCTTTGAGTAGGACAGTAGGTAGCATTCTTGATATTGGAATTCTTGTGTAAAAGTTTCATCTTAATTGGATTGGGGGCTTTTGATGTTTTGTTTATTAAACCCAGATATAAATTTGCACATTTATCTTCATGTATTTTGTGTTACCTTATTCCAAGGATAAAGGTTAAGATACTAATTTGTTGAATGCATGTGTTCTATATATTTCAATAGTGCTTATGGGTCATCCCTTTTCTTTTGGTTTATTTTAATCATCAGAGTCTACTGTCAAAATTTTCGGGGCTTAGCATGAATGTACTTATGAGTTTTCATGGTCACTTTAGTGTCCACATTATTATTGATTTGAAAGATTCAATCTTGCTTTCAGTGATTGATACTCCCATGGGGTTCTTACATGAATGGTGGTCCATATTTTATGATGTATATGTATCTAGGCAACCCATGCAGCAGGAGGCTAATGCAGAAGAAGCCTCCATTAAGGTAATTATTTACAAAATTTGCTTTAGTTGTGCTGATTTCCAGTTACAAAAATTATGATCTTAGGATTTTGTCCAATTATCAGGCTGTTAGAATGACAGAGAATCCACTGCAAAGTGTCCACCCAATAGATCCACAACTGATGAGAAACCAGCCAAGGTCTGGACAGGTTCCTATAAATTTTGACTTAAAAATGATGTTGGGGCAACCAGCTGCTTGTCTCTTGGCTGCAAAACAATATGAGGAAAAGCAACTCAGGCAGGCCACTCGAAATTTTGATCCCAGTTCACAGTTAATTGATACTAACAAACTGACTGTTTCAAAGTCAGTTCCCGCAAATTCAAGGTACCTAAGTTTCTTTATCCAATTAGTGTTTCTTTGACTTCTATGTGCTCTCTGTTCAGAAACACAGCTTATTATTCAAAATGAAAGTCAAAGACATCTATTGTAGAAATACTTAGCTCCTCAATTAAAAATGAAATTTGTGCCGTGGTCTGTGGCTACTTGACCTTTGAAAATATGGGATTGGAACTTTTTAGCCCTTAAATCAATAGTATTTACATAATGAGTAATACTTGTAGGTTGCTTTAACTAATTAAAAGGACATTTCTTATCCTTTTCTTTGACATTCTTTAGTTGCTTTATGTTTCAGCCATTTGCAACGAGAGATATGTAATGTGGATCAAGGGCATGGTGTGAGGGTATGCTGTATGCTTTGAAGAATTTTTACTTGTTTTATCTAGAGTTTCAAATTGTTCCTATTTCAATGACTCTGAAAAAGGTTTCCCGTCTGTGCAGGATTGCAGTTATGGAATTAGCTTAGAAAGAAATACACTTTTAGACCCTACCCTCTTTGGTTCCCAAAGATCCATACTTCCGTTTACTGGGCCTATTGCTGCAGGTTAGCTTTAGCTGATTGAACCTATTTTAGTTTTATGCAGTCCTACTATTCATAGATTTGCCATAATTTATGGTGATACATATATTCATGAAAGGAGCCTTGAACACAGTCAAGTAGCATTTACTTTAATTTGTTCAATTTGTTACTATTGCTATGTTACGTTTGACATACCTAATCATGGTTTATATTGCAGAAATAAATGAAGGAATCAATCAAGTAACACTAACAGGATGTACTTTACAGGTAAGTGACACATTAAGTTACTGGCTTTGGAGTTTGGCAAGCAAAAGTATTAGTTCTTTATATTATGGAGTTGGGTTCTGCCTAGCATCAATTATCTGCTAGATCAATGTGCTTAGCTTTTAACTACTACTTGCCCACAATTATCCCAGTTTGAGATATCAAGCATTAAATTATCCTTTTCAGCCTTCAAATTATCAGCAACAGCTTCAGATATCAACCACAAAGCACCAATCAACATCATCAGCTAAAGGAATGTCATCCATGCTTGGGAACGTGGCATCTATTTTCTCTGGAAGCTCTGCTGAGTTCAATCATCGCAGTTCAAATCTTCCAGAAGGTGAACTAAGTAGGAAGAATACACAGGTGAGCTGAAACTAGTACGTTTAAGTAGCAGCTTGATGGTTCTTCACAATGTAACTAGTTTCTTCTACACTTCTGCTTTCAGATTAGGTTACATATGTATGGATTTTCTGTGCTTGCATTAACATGTGTATTATCATAGGACCATGTGGCATTACTGGAATATCCACTTCACTTATTTGCCATAGTGATACGTGAAGCACTTTATTTTAGTTATGAAAGTTTTAGATGCACTGCATGTGTTCTATACAGCATTAGAAAGCATGTCTGAATAGTTGATTTTGAAGTGAGGTTTAAATCTCAATCCAAAATTTAATGCCAACAATTGAACATGAAATGGCAATCTTGATTATTGCAATGTTAAACTGTTTTTAGTGTTAGACCTATTTATAAGTGCACAAAAAGGAATATTAAAAATTCTGATGGAGCACCCTCTCAAATTTAGAGTTAGGAAGGCATATATAGCATTTCTATGTGTCCATCATCTAATGATGTGTCCCTCTAGATACTCTGAAATGATTTGATGGTAATGCACATGCACTAATATCTTCACATGTACACCCTTCCCCTAGTAAGTCATCACCGTAGTAATTGTGAAAGAGAGCTAGCAGTTGTTTCATGCTGGTTCAGATTAAGCATACAGTTACTTATACTTTTTTGCTTGTTGAAAGTTTTCATCACTTTAGCTTTTTAAAGTGATAACATATTTCCTCATTAGTTGTCAATTGTTTATGAACCAGAAGGCAGTCCCTATGACACAAACTGCAAAACGCCAAAACCAACTTGATGAGGCACAACATTATGAGGTACTACATTGGCAAAATCCTGATTTGGCTATTGTTGTCCTAATAGAAGAAGCTCTAATTTTTCCCTTGCTTGGTGGAAATGCTGGCATTATATATGTATGCATATACATATTATTATTTATATGAATTCTTCTAATTTTGTCAACTCCTGTGTCAGGATGGCAAAAGAAAAAAGAAACTAGAAACTTTAAGAATTGAAGACAAGACTAAGGTATGGACAAAGCTTTAAGGAAAGAGTTACGACAGTTCCTCCTGCCTTCTGGCTGTCTATAAGGAAATTCAATATATATATGATTGAAAGAGTTATAGTCTTTTTTTTTCCTGGTTTAATATTTGCCACTTTGAACTTTTTGTTTAGATTCATAACTGTCACTTCATTATTGTGATGTCATCCGCAGGATTGTGCCCAAGCTGGGGAAAATAGAACTGTTGATGAAAATGTTGACTCTTTTCTGTCTCATGAGCATGAACATGTCAATAGTACAAGCACTCCTTTTAGCAAGTTAATACGTCATTCTAGATCTGGCAATAAAAATGAACATAAAGGTACTTCTTCAGAGTAATTGGGAATATTGTTTATTGTTCTACTTTTGAAGATACTCGGGCACTTAAAATGCAGTTATGAAGCTTATTTATGGAAATATAGTTTGAAGATTTGGAGAAAAAAGAAAAGAAACGAAAACCCCACATCTCTTAAGTACATTTATTAAGGTATTTTTGATAGCCTAATGACATGTTATCACTAGCAGGCTTCTCTTTTGAAGAGATTGGTTGTCTCCATTCAAGCAAAAGTAAGATTTTGTGCTGCCATTTTTCATCAGATGGGAAGTTATTAGCTAGTGCTGGGCATGAAAAGAAGGTGGTATTATTATTTAGATGAGCTGTTTTCAAGAGACCTTTGCTATATGCTTGGAGCTGATTTCTGTATACATTGGCAGGTCTTTGTTTGGGATATGGAAAATTTTTGTTCTTTTAGGAGTTCAGATGGACATGGTCTTCTCATTACAGATGTCCGATTTAGACCATATTCAACTATATTTGCAACTTCTTCCTTTGACAAAACTGTGAAGATATGGGATGCAGCCAGGGTAACCATTTTCCTTGTCCTTGTTTCTGATATTTATTTTGTACTTTCTATAAGTTTCCACCTTCTAATTTGGATAAAAAAAAAAAAGTTTGTGATTCACTCTGCCCTTAGAGCTCCTTTTCTTTTTCTTGTTTGTGTTGTTGACTGACTGGTGTTTATATAATGTTTATCCCAAGTATGATGATGTAAGCATGGTATTCTTTATTTTCCTTTGCAGCCAAACAAATCACTCTTCCAGCTCTTAGGGCATGCTGAGCAGGTGATGTCATTGGATTTCCACCCTAGGAAGACAGATCTCCTGTGCTCATGTGATGGTAATGACGAGATCCGTTTGTGGAATGTCAACCAATGCTCTTGCCTGCACGTTTCTAAGGTCAGATTTTGAGTGTCATCTGTTAGACTTTAATGTCAGCATACAAAAAAAATATATATATATACTCATCTAATTGGGCAAAGCTTTTGGATTAATGTCTATCATTTGTACAACATCAAAGCAATGATTTTCATATCAGATTGGAACCAGATAGATGCTTAGTTATATTTCCACCAACAATTGTCAGAATCTTGTGAAATATTGGAGACTGGAGTTACTGCTAAGCTTTCTTCTCTGCTAACAAATTCAGCTAACTGTAAAGAAAATTTACAAGTTTGAAACATTCATCATTCCTATAGTGGGTTTATTTTACTCTTTTCAACATGTAGTTAGGAACTCTTCACTTTTCACTTAGTACTCAACATACATAATAAAAGGTATTATACCATTTGAATTCTCATTCTCTATAACTTAACAGCCCTTTCCCTTCGATCTCCTGGTGAGGTAACTGCAGGGAGCTACAAAGCAAGTTAGATTCCAGCCACAACTGGGGAAATTAATTGCAACTGCAACAGGAAAAGGTGTGAATGTAATTGATGTTGAGACCAACAGCCTGCAATTCTGCTTCAAGGTAACCCTTCATTTAATTCACTTTAGATGTTTGTGAAATCCTTCTCACATGAATCTACGTTTAGTTTTCTCCTTGCTAATTTGCTAGCCAAATACCATTTCCTTTAGGAACATAGCAAAGAAGTTCTTTCAATTTGCTGGGACTCAAATGGGAAATACATTGCCTCCATCAGTGAAGACAGTGCACAAGTGTGGTCTGTGTCTGATAGAAAATGCTTGCATAAACTGCAATCTAATGGCAACAAGTTCCAATCATGCATATTCCATCCTGGATACTCACAACTGTTAGTCATTGGTGGCTACCAGGTAAACATTTTTCGCGAGATTGTTATGTCAGTTTGTTGAGGCTTCATACAATCTGTGTTTGTGGAACTTGCACTCCTAGTCAGATTATAATGATGTTAGCGTTGCAATTCCTGTACAATATAGTTCCCTATGTTGATATCTAATCCAAATTTTTTAACAGTCTCTTGAATTCTGGAATCCAATTGAGAGCAACAAAACCTGGGCAGTTGAAGCACACAATGGACTAATATCAGCATTGGCGGATTCTGTCAACACTGGAATGATTGCCTCAGCAAGCCATGACCAGTGTGTGAAGGTATGGAAATAAGATCCCCCCCCTCATAGCAAATTTGTGCCTCTGCCTGCACTGGCAGCCGGCACACACTGGAGATTTTTGTCTGTTGGATAACTACATCAATGGCTACGATGGAACAAATTTCATGGCTGAATATGCAGCAGTTAACATAGCAAGAGGTAAACAGGGATAGCTATTTGTACTCTCCGTCAAGGATACAGACTGAACAGTTAACATGGAAAAAGAAAGAAGATATCATGTACAGCATAAATTGTGCTCTCTAAGTTTCTATTTCCTTTTTCTGAATTAAAAAAAAAAAAATTTATTTGGCGACATTTAAAGGCGAAAATGCTAATAGCAATTTAAAGCGCTAATTCAGTTCAGGTAAGGCCTTGGATGTTACCAAAAAAAGGTAATCAAAAAAATGAAAATGAAAATGGTTTCTAATGAAAATGATATAATTATAATATTATATAATATTATAAATTTAT